CAAGACACCAACTTACAAAGAACCAATAACTACTAAGTATTGCTAAGGTAGAGGAACAGATCAGTGGGTCATCACCAAATCAATAGGTGACCCAACTGAAAGTAATGAGAAAGTAGATAACAATATAACCAACATACCTCCGTTGTTAACTCGTATGATCTCCTGGTGCTACTGCTACATCTACCCGTCATAGCATAAGATGGATCTTGGGAGGTCCCAAAACCAAAGATGCGGTCCTTCCTCCGTCATCCGACTCTCTGCACCCAAAGAGATGCCTCATCAGGCGAGGATTGTCGGTACTAGACTGTGACTCACCCCTAAGCGATTGAAATCGCTCCTATGGTTCATGAAAACAAAAACAGGTAAGGTTATATATGTAGAAATTTCAGCAGCATAACAGATGTAAATCAAACATGTCCAATGCTTGTTTTTAACAATTAAAACATTCTAATAATACCAATGATAGTCACATTCTCAACCTATCTACTTATCCTAACGTCTGCCCAACAATGACAGCCCAAACTAATAGCGTCACTATATTTATTAAAATATATTATCTTAAATCTACCAAATGTATCTACTAACCAAAGTATTGGTTTTAAAATATATATACCTCAGCTTTGGGATAACTGAACTGAGGAGGATCGGTAGGCGGGTCGGACGAACCTTCGGATCATAACTGTTAGGTTGAAACCGTCGGTGCATAACCCAAGACGAGCATTCTGGATCTCAGAAGCAAAGTCAGGATCCCTCATATCGAAATGCTTCCAAGCCACACCATCACTTGTATGTACCATCTCACCCAGTTTCGTCCGATGATCGTAATATTAAGTCATCTCTTTCGCGGTCTTTGGAGACATATACAATCTTTGGAGTCTTGGAACAATCGGTAAGTACGTCAACACCAAGTTAGGGACCTTCTTTCGTCCACTTGTCTTGTAACGACTTTCATTGCATACTCGATAGTGGGTCAACCCAGAATCATGCTTGTAAAATAGCATGCAATGGTTTTTGCAAGCATCGATCTTTTGTTTTAATAGAGCTAGATTTTTCAAAATCTTCTTCATCTCATAGAAGTTACAGAATAATTTATCACTCTCAGATAGCATCCGCTTAAAAACGGGAAGCACTTTATTATATATTGTCTCTGGTACATTACATTTAGCCTTCCAATGCAACAAACTCGTCACAACTCCTAGTTTTGAAAAAGTTTGACATCCATCCCATAAAGGCTCGTCAACAGCTGGTAACATGTTATAATATCCTTGGGCAGAAGGATTAGGTGTTTGCTCTTCCCATGTCATGGCATCATGTAACATGTGATCGTTCACCATTTGGAAATAACCTTCATTATGATCCACTATAGGATTAGAAGATTAACCCATGTCTTGATGAGATGCATGACAATAGGTTTCACCCTGTCCCCACCAAATGGTATAATCAGGCATGAAACCATATTGCATCAAGTGGAATTTCATGTCTAATTTTTCTTTATAGGCTTCATTTCGGTAATTGGAGCAAGGAAATCTGATCTGGAATTATCCCATCATGTGTAGTTCCCCTTTCAACATAATCTTCATTGGCATAGGCAATGTCCAAAAAACCTTCCAAGTATCTGACATAGGTCCGACTAAGAGCCCTTTGATCGTCATTCTTTCTATACATCCATCCTCTATCTGTCAACATATTCAATAACTACAACAAAGAAAGAAGTAGTTAGTCGACATAAGTAGAGGTGGTGTAGATGAGTTTTGGGCTACTTTAAACTCTAAGCGTAACGATTTGACTACTTGAAAGTCAAATCGTAGGTGTAGGAAAAGTTGGAGGTATTTTGAATGAGTTGAGAATAAACCATGTAATGTTATGACTACTAGAAAGTCAAACCGTAGGTTTAAAGAAGTTTCAGATGACTTTAAAACTCTAATTATGGCGGTTTGACTACTTGAAAGTCAAACCATAGGTGTAGGGGAAGTTGGAGGTCTTTTAAACGAGTGAGAACGAACCTTGTAATTTGACTACTAGAAAATCAAACCGTAGAGGAGTTTTGGATGAAATCAGTTGGAGCAAGCGTGGGAGGTGGGAGGTGGTGGTGACGGTCGGCAGCCGAGAGGTGGTGTGACGGTGGCGGTGAGTGTCGACGGCAAAGGCCGAGAAGAAGCAGTTGAGAAATGGAGGTTAAACTGGATTGAGAAATGAAATCAGCTGGTGCCGATTTGTGGCTGTTTTAAATCTAAAAACAACGACGAATTTCCGAGAGAAATTTCCGTCGCTGAAAGTTTTTTTAATTTTTTATTAATTTATTAAATTGTTTTATTCAAAATATAATTAATAACTCAATTATTAATTAATAAATATTTGTTATTTATTAATATATTTGTTTTTTGATAAATATAATTAATAATTTAATTAAT